AGCGCACCGCGTAGCCGCTGAAACTCTCCACTGCGGAGAGAGCGCCCGCCGCGCGTCTTTCGCCCCCGGAGCGCGGCCGGAACGAGCCCCGCCCCCACCTTACCTGAGCCCCGCCCCTAGGTCAAGCCCCGCCCACACCTGCCCTTAGGCTGGGTCCCGCCTTAACTGCGGGGCCAGAACAAGCCCCGCCTCCAGACACTGCTCCTGGGGTCGCAGAAGCCACCCCGGGCTCAGCCTCAGCTCCAAGGGCTGCTGGCCCCGACCTGGCTCCCACCGGGTCCCCAAGACGAGCCCCGCCTCCACGTCCCTCAATCCGTCTCAGCCCTTCGCTCTCTAAGTGCCCCCCTGCTCCCCAGTTCCCCGCCCTGTCCTTGCTGGAGCCCACCCCCTTGTCCCCAGTCCGAGGTCAGCGCTCCGGGTCTGTCGCGCCCCAGGGCGTCCTCCGCGCAGGGCAGACTGACCCCTCTTGCTCGGGCAGGGCAGTTTGAACTCGCCGGCAGAGGACACGAAACGGGACCAGTCCTCGATAGCGCGCGTGAAACAGGGCCAGTCCACTCGGTTGATGCCCCGAGCGATGGGCACGAGGTTTCCCTCGCGGCACCTGCGGCGGAGCCTCTGGCCAGTCCCGGTGATGTCCTGCGAGGGCCATGGGAGTCAGGGCCCCGGGGGGAGATGCAGAAGCCTGGGGGGCTGGCCCAAACCACCCCAGAGGACGGAGCTGACACTTGGCTCATGTGACTGAGGGGCGCCTGAAGCCCCTGATGGAGATGGGAAGGGAAACGGGTCCCAAGGGGGCAGCTGAGGAAGTACACGGAGTAGAGCCCAAGACCAGAGGTGCCCTGGGGCTGGGTGCAGGCAGGGCCTTCATTCCTTTCCCCTGAGCGCCAGGGGCAAGGGACACTCACCAAGCACTGCAGGGGTTTGTTGGGGACCCCGAGGAGTGTGTAGTAGGCATTGTCAAAGTCAGCTGAAGAAGGAAGGGAAAGGGAGAAGGGGTGTCTTGTGCACCAGCAGCCACAGGCCCACACACCAGAGGTCTGGCTCACACTGCTTTAAATTTTTTTTGGGGGGGGAATACGTGACAACTTTAAAAAATCTAAGATAAAGTGGATTTTTACTTAACATGACTTATAACAGAGTAAACTTCAAAAGACCAAACATTTCAATACAAAAAAAGTGAAACCACAGAAGTACTAGAAGAAAACACGGGTAGCCAGCTGGTTGGGCACCATCCTGTGCACCAAAAGGTTGCTTGTTTGATTCCCCCACTCCCACCCTGTAGGGGGCGAGGAGGAGGCAGCCGATTGATATTTCTCTCTCTCCCACTTTCTTCCTCTCTCTCTAAAAAAAGAAAAAATCAATTTAAAAAATCTTTAGAAAAAAAGAAAAAGAAAGAAAACATGAGTAAATTCCATCCTAACCTTGGGGCGGGGAAGGCTGTACCAACTCTAAATCTGGGAGCCTTAAATAAAAGGTTGATAACTTTGGCTACATAAACATAAACTTGCACATTGCAAAAATGACATGAGAAGTCAAAAGAATGGGAAAAATATTTCCACTTATTTTTCAGATGGAGAGAAGATGGGGCAGAAGCTGTTATTGCTTTTGTTATTACTCCTACTGCTGTAACTACTGACCTCTGCACAGCTCTCTCTCCATTAATAATAATAATAATAACAACGACAACATCAATAATAATGTGCTCAGTTCGTTGAGCATCTGTTAGGTGCCATACACTCACTACTCGAAGTACATTTCCTCCCTTACCTCGTTTTAACCTCATACTAGCCTTGTGAGGCAGGTCCCATTATCACTTCCATTTTACTGATAAGGAAACAGGCTCAGACCTTTCGAGGTTTCCTGGGTAGGAAGCAGCAGAGCTGGGACTAGCCCCTTGAATGCTTTCACCGGCCACTCATGGCCTTTCACTCCCAGGTCTCTCTCCTCCAAACCACCTACCCCTTCCCCAAAGACCCAGGGCCCCCAGCGGCAGGTAAGGTGGCCTGACCTTTGCGGCAGTAGGTAGTGGACTGGCAGTGCTCGTCCGACAGGCAGGCCCTGACAGAGTCCATGTCCATGCGGCGCAGGCTGGGCAGGGCCGGGTGGTAGATCTGCTGCTTCACGCCCGCCAACTGGTTTCTCTGCCGCTCCATGGGGATCAGGATGGCTGGGGACGCGTACACGTGGGCAGAGCCATCCTCCCAGGGCACCAGGTCAATGATGCGGGCCATGGCTGGGGAGCCAAGAGTACAAAGGGGTTCATCCTGGGCTCAGGCCAGCCAGACACCCTTCTACGTGGGAATGCAAGTTTGGCCAGTGCTTATTTGTCTGGTGGTCTGACATTTATTGAGCATCTACTGTATGCCAGATCCTGTTTTTTCAGGAGCTCCCCATGTGGTGGCAGGGACAATCAGACAACATGACACACACAGGATGTGCTAGGGACTCTGGTAGAGCTCAGGACAGGGTGTTGTGTGTCTGGGGTGGCTGAGGTTGGAGCATTCAGGGAATGACTAAAGGAGGTGGCGTTTGAATCTATTCTTAAATAAAGAACAGGAAGCAGCAGCAGCAAGTGGGTTCAGATTTAGCTCAGATTGGTAACTAATTATGGACTTTTGGCCTTAGCTAAGGCCTCTGGCATTTACTCAAAATTCTACAGGGGGACAGAAACATTTTAAAGAAAGGGAGAGACATGATAGATACAAATTAGGAAACATTGCTGGCTAGACAGTGCCTTTCTTTAAAAAGCAAGTATTCTCAGAAGCCGTTTAGCCATTTCAACTTTAGTGAGAATTAGTTGACTCAGCTCATTTCTTTCCTGAGTCCTGTTACAGATGAGAAATGGAGGTGGGTGGTAGGTGGGCAGGAGGTGAGGACCTAAGGCTATGGAGGAGCAGGGAGAGGGCACAGGGGATGGGCCTGCAGGAGGAGGAGGGACAGGGAGTGGAGCAGGGAGAGAAGGGAAGGAAGGACTCCTTGCTCCTGACCCGCCCATAGTGGCTACCTGATCTGCAGGGCACAGGCCCCAGGTACACAGGCTTCTAAGGATTTTTTGCTCTTCCTGCTACTCAGTGGGGAGAAGAGGCAGGGAGATGGGCCAGGCCCCAGTGCCATACAAGACAGTAGGGGAATAAAGAATGTTCTGCAGAGACAATGCCCATTGCAGCCTGATTGTGAGGGCACCCACTCCTTGGCAACCCTGGCAACCACAGGCTCTGGGGAGAAAAGCCTGCTGCCAGGGACCCTGCCCCCCCATCCCATTTTAATCTTCCTGAAGGTTGCTGTCTCCTGGGCCACAGCACAGGCCAGGCATGTTGGGAAATGTCAAACAGGGAGAAGGGCTCCCTGGGGATGGCCATGCCAGGGCTGGCAAGGGCAGGCTGTGTGACCCTAGACTAGTTACTATCTCTTCCTGGGCCTCAAGGCTCCCATCTGTGTTAAGCAAGGGCCCTGGGCCCTGCCATGAGGGATGTCTGTGATCTGGGAGGAGGCCCTTTCCTCCCTGCAAACCTCAGGGAAGAGGGCACTGTCCTGCCTGCCAGCCCTAGGGGCTCCAGGGATGGAGATTAGGGGCAGTCATTATCCAGGGTCAGCATAAGGGGATCAGGGAGAGTGGTGGCCTCAGCAGGACAGGGATTAGCAGGTGATACATCATCCCCAGCCCCCTGCAGGCCCACAGCTTCCCTCCCTCCTTCCCAGAAAGCAAGGTCATGAATGCCTAAGCCCAGCACCCTGAAGCCCTGGGGCCTGTCCACCGCCATGATCACAACNGCACCCTGAAGCCCCTGGGGCCTGTCCACCGCCATGGTCACAATCATTGGAGAGAGACCCTCAGGTGAGGGAACCCTGGGAGAGCCTAACCTATTTACATATATCGGCATTTGCTTTGCATGCACCTGCCCAGGGGCCAAGCTTGTGAGACCACATAGAATTTGGATCCCCAGTTGCTCCTGCAGGGCTCCATACAGCCCCGGGGCAGCATCCCCAAGTCCACTGCTTACAGAAAACTCTCCCAGAGTTGACTTCATTCACCCCCATTTATTTTTTAACTCTTTTAAAGCTGTAAAATGTAACAAAATACAGAAAGTGCATAAATAATGTAACCCAAAGTTTATAACGTGAGACCCCATGTAACTGCCACTCAAGTCAAGACATGGGGTACTACTTTGCAAAAACAGTTCAGCAGTTTCTTAAAAAGTAAAACATGAATTGACCATATGACCCAGCAATTCTGCCTCTAGGAATCTTCCCAAGAGACATGAAAAGATATGTCCACACAAAGACTTGCACGCAAATGTTCAGAGCAGCATTCTTTATAGTGGCCAACAAGTGGAAAGAAGCCAAGTGGCCGTTGACCGGTGAAAGGGTCAACAGACTGTGCTGTGTCTAGGCCATGGAATACTCTTGAGAATGAAAAAGAAATGGAGAATCGATACGTGCTACCATGTGGCCGATCCTCAGAAACACCACGCTAAGTGAGAGAATTCAGATACAAAAACACTCTGCATACATAACCACGACTTGTCTTTATAGTTTCACTGCCTGTGTCCGCAGCCAGAGACAAGACAGGCTAACGCAGCCCTTTTTGAACTTTGCACGGGTCATTGGGGTCTTTTGAGTCTGGCTCCTTTCCCTCCGTATAGATGCACAAAAGGGTCCCAACTAGGGTGCAGCTGAGCTTCGTTCACTTTCCTCACGCCAGAGCCCATCTGACTTTGCCCGCCCCCCAGTAGCTCCATTGCCTCCAGGCTGCCCAACCCAGGGGACACACAGTGGTCTCATGTGACCCCTCCTCCCGCTCCCCACACCTGAGGAGCACCCGCTTCCTGGCTCTCCTCTCTCACTAGCCGCTCCTGCAGTCTCCTGTCCTAGCTCCTCCTCTTTTCCCAACCTCAAAATGTGCCAGAATGTTCCAGGTGACATCTTTGGCTCTCTTCTCTTCTTTATCCTGGGTTCCCCAGGTGACCTCAGTCAGTCCTGTGGTTTAAGAGTCACCTACAAGCTGAGCTGATGCCTCCAACATTTCCATCTCCAGTCCACCTGTCCCCAAGCTACACACACAGAGACACACACACACCTCACCACCTCCTGCACACACACACACACTTTACCATGTCCTGCACACACAGACCTACCACCTCCTGCACACACACACACCTCACTGCGTCCTGCACATATACGCACACACTTTACCATCTCCTGCACCCCCCCCCATCTCCTCCTGCACACTTTTGCATGGATGTCTCTCAGGCATCTAAACAAAGTAGAGGTCATGATTTCCCCCCACAGCTCTTTCTCCCTCTCAGCCCCAGGTTTCCCCATTTTGGTAAATGGCACCACCTCCCACCCAGTTGCCCAAGCTGAGCCTCCCAATACACCCCTTTTCCTACGCCTCCCCTTTGTCTCTCCCTCTACTGCCAGCTGTCTCGTCCAAGCCCTGTCATCTCTGCGCTGGCCTCTGTCAAGCCAGAGGAAGGGTGAATATCAGCAATGACCGAGGCCATGCAGGCCCAGGCAGAGGTGCCTCATCCCTGTAGCCTGGTACATTTACAGGGGAGGGGCAGGGCCACCCTGAGCTTTGCCACTGGTGTTCAGCCTCGGCGGAAGGAGTCTTCTCCCACACAGCTGCCTCTGGAGCTGGAGCTCAGAGGTCTGGGGCGGGAAGGAGAGCCCAGGGGTCCCCCAGTCCCAAACTGGATTGTCTCCCTGCAGCCTCCTGACCAGCTCCCTGCTTCCACACCTGCCCACTGCCCAACAGCCACGAGGGGGTTGCTGTTGGCTCCCTGGGCATCCACCTCCTCTCTTCCACTGCTACCTCCCCACCCCCATTTGGTACCTGCTAATCCTTTGCACACGGCTCGTGCTGCCAATTAATCCCCCTGTATTCAAGAGGCCAGCTGTGAGTGGTAGGGAGAAGGCAATTCCTGGCTGGTGGTCAGTATCTGAACAGGTAACTTGGGCTGAGGTGGCTGCTCAGTGGCGGTGGGACTGCTGATGGGATCCCCACGCTCTCCTTCTAGCCAGGCATTTAGACATGGAGAACTGGGCAAGGCTGAGAACCTTGGGGCTTCCCTCACCCCTACCTCCCCATGCGGCTCAAACCCTAGTGTGCATCTGGATCCCAGGGGCAGATTGTGGAATGCAGGCTCTAGGCTCCGCAGAGGGCTTGAAGGGGCCTAGGAATCGGTATTTTACCAGCTCCCCAGAAGAATCTGAAAGGCTGGTGGTCCAGGCANAGGCTCTAGGCTCCGCAGAGGGCTTGAAGGGGCCTAGGAATCGGTATTTTACCAGCTCCCCAGAAGAATCTGAAAGGCTCCACTGTTGTCCTGGGCTGCCTCTCTCAGGTCCCCTTTCCTACCTGAGCCACCGTCATCAAATGGAGTCAGCAAGGATGTGGCCAAAAGATGGGAGGGACCTGCAAAAGTTTCCATGTAGAAGGACATGGCTGAGTCTGGGGGAAGAATTAAAACTGGGAGTGAGGAAAGCTTCCCTTGTCATTTCCAGAAGGTTCAGAAACTTGAGTCACAATAGCTTGCTGCTGGAAAAGGGTTCCCAGGACCCGCCCGCAGCCTGGGTCCAGGGTCCCAGGTGGAGGAGGGGGTCAGAGGAGCCCTCTACCAACAGCTGGGGGGCCCATGGTGGGGTGGGGGGGCATGCCGTGTTGGGTATTGCCCCAGGAGGGCCCTTTCAGGGCTGGGAGTTTGCACACACTGACCTGTGTGGTGCTCTCTGGGCCAGGCCATCCTGCAGGGATCTAATCACGAGTGCAGGGCTCCCCGTTCCCTAAAGGTAAATGATACCAGAAACTGAACCTATATAAGGTAAGGCTGAAATATCACAGTAAACCATGAAAAGGGGGCTTAACTAACATTTTGCAAAGGTTAATTTTTGTCTATAGTAAAACAGATTTTTCATTTACATATTATTTATGATGTATTTATAAAAATTTACAAGGGGATTATGCTGAACATGATATTCCACACAAGCATTTTTACTTGATTCCAAATAATCATCACAGCCATTTATTAAGCTCCCAGTGTGTACAAGCCACTGTTCTTATCAGTTTATTTCATCCTTACCGTCACCCCTACTATCCCATTTTACAGACAAGCAAACTGAGGAACTGAGAGTTTAACTGATTTGCTCACGTCTGGAGTCCAGAGTGTTACACCTTTCCATGTTAGTTCAGATAGATCCATAATATTCCATTATTGGACATAGTGTAATTTATTTAACATGCGCCCCTCTTACAGGTGAACATTTAGGTATTTTCCAATAACCAGCNACACCTTTCCATGTTAGTTCAGATAGATCCATAATATTCCATTATTGGACGTAGTGTAATTTATTTAACATGCGCCCCTCTTTACAGGTGAACATTTAGGTATTTTCCAATAACCAGTCTCCTATTGATGGATATTTGAATGTTTTTCATCTTTTTGCTATAACACTGTTGTGAACAGCCTCTTTATACACATGTGTTTGTGGGTTTGAGTATTTCTACTTGGAGATATAATTGGCAAAATATTTTAAAAGATGAGAGGAAAGAGAAATAATCCACAAAAGTGGCCCCCAGANCTCTTTATACACATGTGTTTGTGGGTTTGAGTATTTCTACTTGGAGATATAATTGGCAAAATATTTTAAAAGATGAGAGGAAAGAAAAATGTGTAATCTACAAAAGTGGCCCCCAGGNCCCCCAGATGGTGGGAGCAACTGTGAGCACTCTGGGGAGGTCTAAGGACTCCATCCCCTACAGGTGTCAGGATGTTGGGCTGGGTCCAGAGGGTGCTGCCTCAGCCCCCAGGGACCCCTCAGAAGACCAGGATGGAGGAGGAGGAGGGGGCAGAACCAGAGCCAGAGCCTGACCTGGAGGCAGAGCTGGAACCAGTGCCAGAGCCTGAAAGAGCCCCCCAGGAGGCCAAGCTAGAAGATGAGTCCCTGGTAAGAAGGGAGGGTGGGGAAGGACATGCTGGATAGTAAGTATTTTAGGCATTGCTGGTCATGCCATCTCTGTTAATTACTTAACTCTGTCATTGGCATGTGAAAACAGCCACAGACAATGCATAAACAAGTGAACATGACTGTGTTCCAATAAAACTTTATTAACAAAATGAGCAGCAGGCAGGATTTGGCCCATGGGCCATTGTTTGCGAGTCTCTAGAGTCTAGAACAGAGCTACTTGAAGTAGCCAGTGCATGGACTGTTTGTTACCAGCCCATGATGAGTTTAGAAGCTTGCTAGAATGTAAACCTACTATGGGACTAAGTATAGTGCTTCGTCAGTTATACTTGTTTGGCAGTAAGAGTTTCTCAGCGAAGAAAACAGTGTGTTGATAAACATTATGGTGCAAACTGCCTATTCACTGTGGACCAGTAACAGTTTGCAGACTGGACCACACTCCGAGCAGCACTGCTCTAGAGCTTTCCTTCGAGCCCATCAAATCTTGCCAGTCTGTAAACAGTGAGCTACCCAGGCTTAGAGCTTGTGTGTGTATGTGTTTGCATGTGCATGTACACACGTGTGTGTACCTAGAGGTGTACTCTGTGTGTCCTTAGTGGTATCTTTGTGCATGCATGTGTATTTTTAAGTCAGGTGTACATGGCACGGGGCAGCCTCCTAGGTGATGTGATAGGCCTGGGGACCACCTTAGGGGAGCGTGAGGGCCCAGCCTGGATAAGGGGCCCTGGGGCTGGGAGGAAGGGAGTGTCTCAGGGGGAAGCTAAGCCCAGCAGGATTTACAGAGGTGATTATGAGAATAGAGTTGTGTGGTCCTGTGGGGGGGTGGAAAGGTNAAGTCAGGTGTACATGGCACGGGGCAGCCTCCTGGGTGATGTGATAGGCCTGGGGACCACCTTAGGGGAGCGTGAGGGCCCAGCCTGGATAAGGGGCCCTGGGGCTGGGAGGAAGGGAGTGTCTCAGGGGGAAGCTAAGCCCAGCAGGATTTACAGAGGTGATTATGAGAATAGAGTTGTGTGGTCCTGTAGGGGGGGTGGAAGGGCCCCTTATGGGTGGGTCAGGGCCTGCTCCTGCCTGAACCAGACTGGTCTCTCTGAGGGCTTACACGGTCCTATTTGAACCCTCTAGCCACCCGAGGAGCCATCTGAAGGGGAAGAAGAAGCTGCGGCTGACCCAAACCCTCAGGGTGAGTGCTGGAAGCCCAGGATGGCAGGGTCCCAGGTGGGAAGGGGCTGCGTTTCTCCCTCAGAGCCTTGGAGAGGAACCACGATGCTGGCAGGTCCATTTCACAGTGAGGCTCAGAGAAGCTAAGGGTGGCTCCTGGGGACTTTTCAGCTGAGCTGAGCCGGAATACCAGCCTTCTGACCCCCTTGGGATTCTCCCCTCTCCTCTGCCTCTGACTTGACCTCCCCAGCAGGGTAGAAATGGGCTCTCCGAGGCCCCAGGTGTAAAGTGTGGGGGACTCTTTTCCAGAGACCCAGAAGGCTGCCTCTACTCCACGCACATGTCTTCAGGCCCAGGTTGCTGTGATTCCCACAGTGAACAGGTACTGTACCACCTCCCCTCCTTAGGGCCAGCCCCTACACAAGCTAGGGAGCTGCTGGGGGTGGGGACCCGCACTGCTCTCAAGACCACAGTCACTCCCAGGCCAAGTCTGGAACATTTGGGGAGTTGGCTGAAGAAAGCCTCAGGAAGAGAGAGGGTGGGTATCTCCTGGGCCAAATGGGCAATGTGACCAAGAGAAGTGAAGGGTGGGGCCAGAAGTGTCTTGGTGCCTGGATGAAATGAGATCCAGAGTGGCCAGAGCTTCTGATTTTCCCAGGATGCCAGAAGTCGAGACTTTTACATGAGATCTCCCGGTAGGCTCAACCATTATCCAAGTGAGTACGCCCGTGGCTGGGGCTGGCAGAGGCAGTGAGCTTGTGAGCCTCATATTTAGGATGACAAGCCTCTGCCATGAGGAAACACCTCCCAGGAAACCCTCAAGCCTTTTGGGGCACAATGTGTGCCAAGTGCAGGATGGGGACCCCTGAGCCAGGCTAAGGGGGAGACAGGATGGTGGGGTGGGCTCAGGATGGCACTGGGCATACCTGACTCACAAAGAGTTGGTGTTCCCACTTTCCAGAGAGGGACACAAGGCTCAGAGGGAGATGATGTGTCTGGAGTCTCACAGTGGGGAGATAAAGGTTTGCAATTCCAACCAATTGCTTTAGGTTGAAAAAAGCAAGATCCTTAGCTGTAGCAGGCCAGTCCGGCCCCCTGGGCCTGGGGAGGCTGAGGGTGGGCCTGTATCTTTGTCCCTCCGTCCCTCTGCAGTCCCAGCACCTGGGTGCTGACCTGGCTCAGGAAGGGCGTGGAGAAGGTTGTCCCACAGCCTGTCCATAGCCGTGGGCCCGCCCAGAGCACTGCGGCCAGCCTGGAGGGCCCAGATCAGGTACTGTGGGGGCTGGGAGCTGCAGAGGGTCGGGTGTGGAAGGGGCTGGGGGAGGCTGACACACCTCGCTCTCTGCCCATGCTATCTGTCTGTCTGTCCCTGCAGGCAGGAGCACAGATCCTTGGGCACTGCAGCACTAGGGCCTCAGGTAAGGCCACAAGGCAGGATAGCTTTACAGAGGTGTTGCTGAGGGGCGATTGGCATGGGCCTTACCCCTGGGCAGAGTCCACAAGCTGAGTTTCATTTGACTGGCCCTGGATCCAAGCCTGGTTGAGTTGGGCTGACCGGGGCGTCCTGGGCAGGCCTGCTGCTGCTGACTGCCATACTTTTTTCCTTCTGCAGATGGATCCAGTGAGGCCTCCAGGGCAAAGGACACTGGGTGAGCCCTTGTCCCTGAGCGCTGGTTTGGGAGCCCCCTGAGCCTCATCCCTCTCCCCCCGCCCTGAGTTCCTTGGAGAGTATCCCGTACAAGGCCCCACCGTGCAGAATGGGAGCCAAGGGCGAGGAGGGGTTGGGCGAGGCCTGGGACACAGGTGGTGGTCAGGACAGTGTGGCTGGCCCTCCTCAGGCTGCCCGGCTGACCACAGGCCCCTCTGCAGGCCTGGGCCCTGGCTGCTCAGGTGGTTTGAGCAGAATCTGGAGAAAGTGCTGCCTCAGCCTCCAAAAACCTCCGAGGTAAGTGGAGGAAACAGGGAAGCAGGAAGCCAACCACCTGGGAGGGTTTCTGGGCTGCTCAGGAGGGGCCTGCCTATTCCAGTAGTCTCTCCCCAACCCCCTCCCTGGGATCTCAGAGGGTTGCTGATGGGAGGAGTGACTGTAGGAGGGACATGGGATTCAGGGGAAGGATGGGCCAGCCCACAGCTGGCCAGGGGAGAGAGTGCGCAGGGCTTGCTTTGTTCTATCACTTCTCTCCCTGCTTATGATCCAGGGCTGCAGAGAAGAGCCTGCAGACATTGCCATGGGCCCAGGTACAGGGAGGGGGCCTGGGAGGGGGCTGTCTGAGATGGTCACAGGCTGGGCTGGGGGTATGACTGGGGCCTGAGGGATCCCAGGGGAGGACCTTAGCCCTCACCCAGGCTAGGGAGGGTTCAGGGCTTGCCGGGAATGGTCTATTGTGGGGGGCACTAGAACCCCCCTCCCCAGTCCAGGCTGGAAATCCTGTGGCCTGGGATAGCTTTGTGAATTCTTGGTCAAGTCCCTTTTGGTCCCTGGGCCTCAGCCCCATGTCTGTCTTATGATAGGCGTGGTTGGCTGATCCCAAGGGGCTTCCCGCTTAGCCGTGTTTGCCCCTCAAATCTGGCCCCCCTGTGGCCTTAAGGGGTCAGGGACTCTGCCATGTCATCTTAGTCTCCTGCTCTCCCTCTGCTTAGAGCCCCCAGGATGTGCCTTGGAAATGGAGCCCATGCTGCAGGCCCTGGAGACTCATCCCCTGCCCACTCCTGGCCCCCCAGAGCCTGAGGAGGAGCTGACTCCAGAGCCCCAGCCCAGCTTCCAGGCTTCTTCCTTGCCACCCCCTGGGGACATTGCCAGGTGAGCTCACCCTAAATGCCACACCTCCCTCCCATGGGAGGAGCAGCCCAACATCCAACCGTCACCAAACTCTTTTTTTTTTTTAAATTATAAAAGTAACACATGCCCCTGGGAAAAAACTCAAAGGGGTTTCCAGGACCCCTTCCCAGGGCAGCCCCATCAGCAGCTTCTCAGCCTTCCCAGCATTGTCTAGGCAGACAAGCTTGCGGGTACGTTTCACTTTAAATACACCCACCCGACAACAGAAAACTAGATATATTGTTCTGCACCTTACTTTTTTCACCCAAAAATGCCTCTCTGAGGTGGTTTTATGCATCCAGTTCTTCATTCTTTCCATGGCTGCACAGTACTCTATTATATGGATATACCAGATTTTTTAAAGTTTTCTTTTAATTTCCAAGATGTCACTCTATTTTATTTTTGTTTTTATTTATTTATTTTTAAAATTTATCTTTACTGTTGACAGTATTACAGGTGTCCCATTTCCCCTCCCCCCCCATTAACCCCCTCTACT